CCTTCTTCATGGATGGTGATTTCTCACTTTCTCTCTCTTTCTCTGTTCAGAGAGTGCATGTGCCCTATGGTTAAAAAGACCGCCAACTCATAATTAGGCCAAAGGTAACAGAAGCATAAACATAAGCAGAGAATGACAGAATTAGCTTTGTTTTGGGGCCAGCAGGTGGCATGGGGTTAAGGTGCTGGGCATTCCCACATGGGCCAACCATGATTCAAGTCCCAGACCTGCTTTCTCACTTTCTCTCTCTCTTTCTCTCTCTCTGGTCAAATGAAAATAAACAAACAAACAAAAAACAAACTTAAACAATTTTTTTAAAAGAAAGAATTACCTTTGTTTTTTTGTAGGTATGTTTTCTTTTTAGGTCAACAAACATTTGGTATCTCCCATATGTCTCAGCCAGGGGCTAATCAACACCCTGCACTTAGCGAGATCATGCTTTTACTAAATGGGAAACTGACAAGCTCTCTTCCTACACTAGTCTCTTCCAGACTTTCTAAAAGATTATTAAGTGGACAATCCTTAAATTGGTGATGGTTAACCTAAGTCTTTTCTCAGATTTCACTCTGACTTAAATCACTGTTGCCACCTAGTGGCAGCATTAGGCTCTGCGGGGGTGGGGAGGAAGGGGGCAGCCAAGTTCAACAACAGGCCACTGAAAACAAATGTATGTATGCTGGTGCGCACCCCTTAACTCTCTTTTTTAACTGCCAGAGGGCAGGGTGGGGGAGAACTCCCCAATGGGGTGTGGTCACGCTGCAATCCCTTCCCCCCATTTCTCCAAACCACTGGGATTTGGGTCAGTCTCATGACGTGCAGTGTTTTTGAAGCCACCAGGGCTGTGATTCGAACTGCAGTTGGCCATGGATGATCCTCTCGCTTAACCACTCGGTGATGGGGCCAGTCCCCTCTTTCTCCTTTTAAGATAACCACTAGAACCAGCAGTTGGCATAAATGGCTATGTTGCTGGATTCCCACGCAGTTGGCCGCAGGTCGAGTCCCGGACACAGTGGCTTAAACTCATGCAGGGCACATGTGCACGATCCCGAGAGGAGAATGAGGGAGAAGGGATTGCAGCGTGGCCATCCCCCCGGGGGTGATTTCTCGCTTTCTGTCTGTCTCTCTCCGTCTTTCTGGTGAGCGCATGCACACTATAGCAAAAACCTCTCAAAAACAAAAACAAAAAGATACCCACGATTCAGAATCTTCACGGTCTGTAAGTCCAGCACACACCTCAAACATTAGCCAGGTGTCTACAGTGGCTTTGTGCACACCAGTCTTTCTTCTGTCTGTGCTGTTTGTCACAGAAATTAACTTGACCAGTTCAAAATTCTAAAACTAGTGCCATTTGTCTTTGTTGGTGACCGCAGTGCCAGCCCACACAACCAGCGCAGTACTGCACGGGGGATACTCCAGTGCCTCCCACTGGGTTAGGTGATCATTTTACCCTGGCTGCCATGACGTCACCTACAAAGCCCGCTTTCCCCAGTCTGACTTACTGAAAATAAGCAGGAAGGATCGTATTCAGCCCTTCCTATGTTGCTCAGACCTCGATCCCAGGTCTGAGAGGAGGCCGCCACCAAGAGGGTGACTGCATAAGCGGCAGGGTGATTTTCCTAATTGCCTTCACCTTTGGCTAAAGTTAGATTAAATGTAGTTCATACTTCCTTGGTATATATATATAGATCGAAAATGGACCATGGGGCCAGCCAGTAGCTTGGTAGTTAAGGCAGATGGATCCCACACAGTTGGCTGCACAGTTCAAGTCCTGGATCCAGCACCTTGAAAGACATGGCAGTTGCGTGCGTGTATATGCCCCAAACTCTAAAGGGAGAGAAAAGTAGGGAAGGGTTTGTAGCATGACCATTCCCTGAGGATGGTGCTTTCTCCCTTCCTCCCTTCACATCTCCTCTCTCTCTCTCTGGCAAGCGCACATGCCTTCTGGCAAAAACTTTAAAAAAGCACCATGGAGGGAGGTGGCATAGTGGTTAAGGCACTGGGCTCCCATGTAGTCAAAACGTAGTTTGAGTCCTGGACCCAGCAGCTTAAAACTCACACCGGGCACGTGTGTGTGCAAGCCCAAAATCGTAAAAAGAGAACGAAGAAGGGACTGTAGCATGGCCATCTCCCTCGGGAGTAATTTCTCGCTTTTTCGTGGTGAATGCACGTGCCTCATATCTCAAAAAGACCATGGAGCTGGCCTCAAGCACAGCAGTTAAGGAACCAGATCCCACATGGCTGACCAGTTTGACTCCTGACCCTAGCAGCTTGAAAAACACATTGAGTACATGTGCATCTGTGCCTGAAATCCTGATAAGAAGGAATGGAGGAAGAAGGACTGTGGCATAATCACACCTCATCAAGGTGCTGTGTGTGTGTGTGTGTGTGTGTGTGTGGCAAGTGCGTGCACCACAAAAAAGGGGGTGAGGGACCATGGATTGAATGTCCACAGAGTACATGCATTAGCATACAGGGGTGTGTGTATTCAAGATAAATAAGCTCTCGTTCATGAAATGTCCAGTTCAGCAGTGCACTGAGGGCTGCTATGGCATGCCAAAAACATTCAGCATCTGAGGACCTACTATGGGTTAGGCATGGGATAAGGAGCTGATCTTACAAAGACAAATGAGACATAGACCTTATTTTCAAGGAATAACTGTAACAGCATAGTCTCCAAACTTTGCATGCCCCCCTCTAAAAGACCTATCTACTCATTCCTTTTTTCAAAGGAATTATTTAATTTTATTTATTATTATTTAATTTGCTATAGGGCATGTGTACTCATGAAAGAGAGAGAGAGGAAGAGATAGAGAGAGGAAGCAAGCCACCAGGTCTTGGATTTGAATAGCAGTCGGCCATGTGGGAGTCCAGCGCCTTTAACCGCCACACCACTTGCTCGTTCTTATGTTTCTTAATTGGAATTCTGGGTTCTACTCTGCGGTACTCTTGGATGCTTGATTGAAAACTCATAACATACCAATGTTAACACTGCAAGCTCCACTCACAGCAGTAAAAGACTTCCAATACTGGGACCAGCAGTTGGAGGAAGGGCTATGTTGCTAAGACTCCCATATAGTCAACTGCAGTTCGAGTCCCAGACCTGGTAGCTTAAACTCACACGGGGTTCATGTGCGTGCTTGCCCAAGATCCTGGGAGGAGAGTGGAGAAGAAGGGATTGCTTCGTGGCCATCCCCCCTGGTGATTTCTCACTTTCTGTCTCTTTGTCTTTCAGGTGAATGCACACACCCTATGGCAACACCCCCCCACCCCCACCCCCCAAAAAAAGACTTCCAATACTAATAAAAAAAAAAATCACTACTTTTGATCATAAGGGCTTCAAATGGCTTCACAGGTTTTTCCATGTGTCAGGCTCGGCCCACAAACAAATGCCAAAAACACAAAGGCTGGAGCCTGCGTCCATTCAAGAGGCTAAAGGTGTCCTGAACACCAGGTGTCACTAAAACCACACTTGCACCCTCTTTTTTGTTTTTAGAATTATTTCATTTTAATTATTATTATTTTTTAATTTGTTATAGGGCACATGTACTCACCAGAGAGAGAGGGAAAGTGAGATAGCAAGCCACCAGGTCCAAGACTCAAACTACAGTCAGCCATGTGGAAGTTCAGCACCTTAACCACCACGCGACCTACTGGCCCCACACCCTCTTATCTGCACTTGCAACAATCCACCAGCTCTTTTACCTTTCTTTTTCTTAGTATGAAATATACTGTGTATTTTAAAAGGTTTTAATGAATAGACAGCATTTAAAGAAGAATAAAATGAACTCTATGCACCTACCACACAACTGACCAGGGAGAACATTACCTGGGTCTGAAAGCCCCATGTGCCCTTGCTCAACTGCACCTCCCCCTCCACCCTACTTGGTAGCCACCATCTTTTTATCCACTTTTTTGTTTTAGATTTTTGCCATAGGGTATGTGTGCTCACCAGGAGAGGCAAGAGAGAGGGAAAGTGAGGGAGTGGGCATGCCAAAGTCCCTTCTCTTGGGAGTGTGGGCACTCATGCACACAAACCCAGCACACTTTTCAAGCCACTAGGTCTGGGACTTGAACCACAGAGTATGTCATGTGGGATCCAGTAACCTTAACCACATCACCTGCTGGCTCCTTTCTATCCATTTTTAAGATTTGGGCCAGCCAGTGGCATGGTGATTAAAGTGGCTGGGTTCCCCACGCATGGTGATTAAAGTGGCTGGATTCCACATGGCCAACTGTGTGGTTCTAGTCCCAGATCTGGTGGCTTGAAATACACACCAGAGCATGTATATGTATGCCCAAAATCCTGAGAGAAGAATGATGCAGAAGGGACTGTGGTGTGGCCATCCCCCACGGCAAGTGCTTTCTACTTCACCTCTCTCTCTCTCTGGCAAGTGCACATAACCTATGGCAATTTGAAAAAGAAGATGATACACCCCCAAACTCATCTTCTTTTGCTCTTCTTTAGCTGCAAAGTACATGTATAATGAAGCTCCAATGTTCTCTGCTCTCCAAGCCTCACCACCCCCTGCAGACCAGGTTCAGAAAGAAGACAGAGAGCTACAAGAGCAGGGCCAGTGTCTCCTCATCCCATCTCCCAGCACCCAGCCCCATGCCTGGCGGGAACTGCCTGTTTCATCTACACCAGGACTCTCAAAACATCAACACACCAGGACCAGCAGTTAGCGTAATGGTTATGTCGCTGGACTCCCACGTAGTCGACCACGGTTCGAGTCCCAGACCCTGTGGCTTAAACTCACACTGGGCGCATGTGCGTGAGTGCCCAAGATCCCAAGAGGAGAATGGAGGAGAAGGGACTGCGGCATGGCCATCCCCCCGAGGGGTGATTTCTCACTTTCTGTCTCTGTCTCTCTCTGACTGTCTGGTGAGCGCACGTGCCCTATAGCAAAAACCTCTCAAAAAAAAAAAAAAAAATCAACACACCACAAAGGATAAACGGGTACACTCTGGAGAGAGGAACAAATGTGCCCTTTCTTCCTTACCTCTGCCTCTACCTGCTGCTGAGTTCGGTTGTGGTTCTCTTTGTACTGGTTGGCTCTTAGAACTTGCTGCTCGATGCCCAGCAGAACTGCTTCACAGCCATCACACCTACAAAGGAGGAAACCAGCCCAGAGCTGCAGAAAGGCCTGGGAAGTCTCGTCCAGCCTCAGAAATCCCCCTCCCAATAGTCCTCCCCAGAACCCCATAGGGACTTCCTTTAATAACCCCTCTGCTAAGATTCTAGCCCCATCTATCCCTCCAAAGACAAGCACTTCAAATATTGGGTCATCAAAAAATTCATGATGTTGGGAACCAGCAGTTAGCGTAATGGCTATGTCGCTGGATTCCCACATAGTCGACCGCGGTTCGTGTCCCGGACCCAGTGGCTTAGAACTCACGCCAGGCGCGTGTGCGTGCATGCCCAAGATCCCGAGAGGAGAATGGAGGAGAAGGGATTGCAGCATGACCATCCCCTCTGGGGGGTGATTTCTTGCTTTCTGTCTCTATGTCTCTCTCTGTCTGTCTGGCGAGCGCATGCACCCTATAACAAAAACCTCTCAAAAAAAAAAAAAAATTCATGATGTTATTTTTCTATGCAAAAATGCATTATGACTTTTCTGACGACCCAATACATAACAAGAGATATCAGAGACAAACATGGCAGTCTTGGGGTAATTTATTAGAACTTCAACCCTTTGTATCCTATGGTAAATGGTATTTTAGAATACAAATTTGGGCCAGTTCCACTGCCTAGCAGTCAAGGAAGCCAGATCCCACATGGCTGGCTGACTGTGGTTCAAATGTCAGCCCCGGCAGTCTGAAAAGCAATCCAGGCACAAGAGCATAAATGCCCCAAACCCTGACAGGATGGAGAACAAATTGTAACATGACCATGTCCCATTGGGGGCACCTCTCCCACCTCTGGAAAGTGCATGTGAGACAGGAATGAAGGAAGATAAGAAAGAAAGAAATAGTACATGAGTATATCCTCTACCTAAGATCCAACAGTTATGAACATTTAGTCATGTTTGTGGCACCTCTCTATATAGCAATTTTATTTTTAATCTACCACCTAAAACCAGGTTTTAAAAATCTCTGCTGGGGGGGGAGGGGGCCGCAGGTGGCATGGCAGTTGAGGGCACTGAACTCCCACATGGCCGGCTGTGGTTTGAGTCCCAAACCTGGCGGTTTGCTTTCTTGCTTTCCCCTTCTCTCTCTTTCTCATGCTGCTCCTCTCTGGTCAAATTAAAAATAAATGGCATTAAATAAAGTATTTCTTCAAAAAAATTCTTTATTTAAAAAAAAAAAATCTCTGCTGGGGGCCAGCAGGTAGTGTAGTGGTTAAGGTAGCTGGATCCCACAAAGTTGACTCCATGGTTTGAGTCCAGGGCCCAGTGCCTTGGAAAAACACTGGGTATGTGTATATGCATGCCCAAAACGCTAAGATGAGAATGGAGAAGAATGGACTACAGCATGTCCATCCCCCAGGGAATGATTTCTCACTTTCCCTCTCTCTCGGGTGAGTGCACACATCCTGTAGCAAAAACTAAAAAAGCACACCCTGTGTAACAAAAACAAAAAAAAAAAAAAAAAAAAAAAAACCTCTAAAATCCATGCATAGTTTTTCTGCAACATCTATTTTCCATAAACTTTTTAAAGAGAAATTTTTGCTGTAGGGTATGTATGCTCACCAGAGAGACAGAGACAGAGATAGAGAGACCGAAAGTGAGAAATCATCCCCCCATGGGTGATGGCCATGCTGCAATCCCTTCTCCTCCATTCTCCTCTCAGGATTTTGGGCATATGTGCACACATTCTAGATGTGAGTTTTAAGCTGCTGGGTCCGGGACTCGAACTACATGGGAGTCGAGCAATGTAATCCTTACATCATCCATAAACTTTTTAAAAATAATTTTCCCCTTCATGATAGAGCATGTGTGCTTGTTCATGAGAGTGAGAGATAGAGAGAGAGAGGTGAGTACCCTCCAAAGGGTCTAGTCACTCTGTGGTCCCCTTCTAGTCAATCAGATCAAGGGCACTTGCATACATGCCTGGTACATTTCAGGCTGACCGGGTTGGGGATTGAACTGCAGTCGTCATGTGGGATTCAGCTTCTCTTGAGCAGTGCCTTACCACCATGCTACAAAGCTGGTCCTTTCCACGAACATTTTGAAGACCTTTGCATATTCCTTTTGGGGATAAGCCAGAGTCTCGTTTTGTTTTGAGAAAATCAACTTCCCCATCCCTTTGCAAGACACTTTCTTGCTCTGCTCAAAACCTCCAACATGCCAGGTACCTTCCCGGGAACACGCTCTCCTCACCTCACCTCTGACTAATCCAGGTCCTCCTCTAAAACTTGAGCAAACCTCTCCAGCTAAGTCCATCTGGCTTTATAAGCCCCAAATCATTTAAATAACACCATAATAAATCCTTACGGATTGTGTAACAGGTTGTAAATATAAAGTTGCATTAAAAAAAGTATATGCAAATATCCTGATTCTTTTTATATAATAGAAGAGAGTTACCAAATATTCTATGTGTGAGTCTGTATTCCAAATTAGAATAACTCATTCCTGGTTTTCAATATTCCTCACAGTGTTTTACAAACCTTAGCCCAATCTCTGAACATCAGTTCTTTTATCCAAAGACTCATAAACACTACCCTTCCAAGCTGGGTCAAACTTGGAAGTCTGCAATGGGGATACACAGGACTGGTGCTACCCAGTAAGGACCCAGAGTCTCCATCTGCTAACGCTGGGCATTTCACACTATGGAAAAGCCCCCAGCTATGAAGACAAAACTATTCACAACCAAGGCACTAGGAGGCCTGAACGATTCCTGCT